CTATCTGTAGACCATGATAGCATGTGTCTTCAGAGTCTGGTGTGTGTGTGTGTGTGTGTGTGTGTGTGTGTGTGTGTGTGTGTGTACATACAATTGGCAACTGTGGGGTTGGCTGTGGGAGAGGTTGTATCTGGGAAATCATGATGACAGAGGACCTAATATGGAGGGTAGAATTTCCAAATTAAAGGATAAAAGGGAACTGATCAAATTCCCCACAGCAGGGAGTGGGGGTGGAGCAAAGCCCTGATTATTATTTGGGAGAGGTAGACGATAGATACAAGGTAATACTTAAGAGTGCAGATTCTGGAGTCCAGTGTTTGAATCTCAGCTCTGTAACATATAGCTGTGTAACTCTCAATAATTCAAAGCCTGACTTTCCCTGTCTGTGCAACACCTACTCTCTGCCTCATAGGTTGCAGGAACTCAAGGCATACATGGTCATGGTCAATACCAATCAATGGACCTACATAATCTTTGTGGGGGGTGCAGTGCAGTGTCTGGTGAAGGGCACCTCTTCAGAGCAGAGGGAAAGAGGGTGTCCTCCACCATACTTCTCTGGGGACAATGTCCTGTGGTGAAGCTTACTGGAACCCCCAAGGCTCTGGAGAGGGGGTTTTCTGGGTTTGCCATTCAATCACTCCCTCTTGGATATGAGTACTCTGGTTAGGTGGGAAAGGGAGACCTTCTGGAAATGAAATCCACTACAGAGCCTTAGAGAATACTTGAAAAAGATATAAAAGCATTAAAAAGAGACCTAAGGAAATTCAGAGGGCTGTTGTTTTCATTTTTATTTTGGGACTAAAGCATTAATAAAACTTTGCATCCCTCTTGAAATGTGCTGTTCCCAACCTTACACTAAAGTTACAAATATTTAAAATGCTTATTTAACACTTAGAGTTTTGTAGAAAATTGTAGGGACAGCTATCTCACTTTGAACACAATTATTATATACGTATTTTTTTTCTATCATCTGGTCATTATCTATGTGCACATGTAGTTTTTCATAGTTTTTTAAAAATCATAGAACACATAGATTACAAGTGTTCCTATGTGTCACTGTACATCCTTATGGATTTAACATGGTTGTAAATACACATAATTTCATACATTTATCTTTTACATTATCCTTCATTTCTGAAGACATAATTAGCAGTGACTCCCAGAGAACTCACGTGGAAAGACAGCCCTCAGTTTGAGCATGGCTATTGTGAAAGCTAGCGTACTTTAGGGTAGGGAACTTTTACCTTAGAATTCACAAAAGTTTTTGTTTAAAAGTAAAAAATTAATAGAGTGTGGCAGACTGTGTTCCCAAATATCTGTCATCCCTTTGCACCCCATCATAGAATTATAGCTGGGTGCATGTTAGCTCAGCACAAGGTTACATTTTTAGGCCCCCTTTACTGCTGGGCCTGTAGTCAGAGGGACATGTGCCATTTCTACGTCTTCCCTTTGACAGAACTGGGTACTCCCCTATCTTTTCTGTTTTGCTGGTGGCTGGGAGCAGCCACTTTAGACACAGGCATGAAGGCCATGTTTAAGATGGCAAAGCTATCTTACTGCAGCTGGACTGTTAACATTCTCTCATGTTCACATTCATGGATGTCTCTGATACATTGGCCCAGCCATTATACTAATATACCACTTTCTCGCTGATTGTTTCAGGCAAGATAGTTTTAAAATATACTCCCATTGTTTTCAAAAATTCCAGAGTTTTGCTTTATTTTTCACCTCGTATTTGGTATGCTATTGGGTTGTCGGAAAAGTCATAACGCATTTCTGCAACGAAAAACAGAAAAAATACGTCATGACTTTTCTGACAACCCAGTATTTTCTTTCTCCATTGTGGTTGGCAGCATGCTGGTGTTTCATTTTATCGGTGACACCTATACCCTAGTATGTGTTCTATGTGCAGAGCTGTGTTTTAGGAGGGGTGGGTGACTTCTGCCCTTCAGGCTGGCTGTATTCCAGGAGCTCAATGTTGGTCATCCTGTACTGCACATGTTTAATGTTACATAGAAGTAAGCATTAGAAAAATGTCAAAGGTGTGGCAGATCAAGAAGACTGTTGGGTGACAGCTGGCTAGAGGCAAGGGTCCTTAATCCTGTAAACAGATGGTAGTAATAGTAATAGTAATAGTAATAGTGCTGAATATCCCAAACACCAGCCCTACCTTCCGTTGCCAAACTAATACTCATTGTTCCTGGCTCCCATTCTGCTCCTGGCTCACATGTTTTACTGAAAAGTAGAAAGGAACTAAAGGGAATTAATATTTATTGGACACCTTAACATTTACTGAGAGGCAATGCAAAACAGTGATTAACAACATGGGGAATTGGAGTCACACATATCAATGTTCAGATTCCAGCTTCATGACTTACTAGCTGTAGAGTTTGGTAAGGTAACTTAATCTCAGTGTCCCCATTTGCAAAATTGGGATAATAATACCAACTTCAAAGTTTTCTGAACATAAATAAAATAACATACATAAATGTTTGGAATAGATTAAGAAATAAGTTGATAAATGGTACACACTATTATCTATTCTGTTCTCATTTCCTGGTGCCAAGTGTTTTACATAATTATCTCATTGATCCTATAACATGGACATAATCCTTCCCATTTCATAGGTGAAGAAATTGAAGTTAAAAAATTTGTGAGGTGAAGTAGATATCATATTAGCTACTTTGCAAATGAAGAAATGGGAGCACAGAGTATTTAAATAATTTATGGATGTCTCAAAGTGAAGCAGCTATGGAGGTGAGATCCAAAGCCCTGTCTGTTGACCTGATTTTTGGCAGTTCTCTTATTAGTTGTCACTCCTGACAGGTTGTAATGGTCATGGTGATGTTTGTTATTTACATTAAGTTTTTTTTTTTTTTAAAGATTTTATTAAGAATTGGGGGAGGGGAACAGAAAAGTTGCTGTCCTTTTGTTCTTCAGTCTAGTTGTGGAGGATGTTGCTTCACTGGTCCATGTTGGTATTACCATTGCGCTCTTCCCGGGTGAGGCAGATCGGTTGCCGGCCACTGGACGGCCGCTCACGGCGGCTCTTGGCAGCTCACACTGGCTGCCAGCCACTCACAGTAGCTTACGGGAGCCCATTGTAGCAGGGGCTGCAGCCTACACCATCACCGACGACTCACGGCAGCCCAGCTCCAAGTCGAGCTGTTGTTCACCATCTTAGCTGTTGAGGGTGCAGCGTCACTGGCCCTAATGTGGGAACCGAACCGGGGCCCTGCTGCTCAGAGCTGGCGTCCCAAGCCAACTCTTAACCAACGCGCCACTCAGCTGGCCCTACATTAAGTTTTAAGGATCAATTTTCTTCATACACCAGGATGTCCTCATGACTGCTTTCAATTAGGACCAGAGTCACAACTGTTATGTAAGGAGTTAGTGTCTTTATGTTGCATTTTCCCATCAGGCTTTATGCCCATCAAAACTACAGGCTTTGATTTCTAATACAACCCAAACAATCAATAATTGTCATTCTGCAGTTGTCTTAATCAATCACAAGTATTTTCTGAGGTTATATTATTTTAAATAGCACTGTATCTGGTGTTCTGTTACTCCTTTATCTGAATTTACAGTCTATTGAAGCACCAACATAAAGATATTAAAACAATTAGAGACTAATACAAGTGAATAGTAATTAAATAGTTGCAATAATTGCAATAGTTGAGCAGTAAATAAAATTCTGAGTTTCCTAGCAGTTAAAGTGAACATGATTATCAGAAAAGGGAAAAGATACAAGAGGAAGCAAGGTTTTTCCTTGTCCTAAACTTTGAGAAATTCCAAAATGGCATTTTACAGAAGATCAACTAAAAGTTGCTTCAACAACATACTCAGAGCAGATGCAGTCATGGAACCCAACTGGCTTTTCTTTCCACTTTGGATAAAGCTGAAGGTATAACATCAAAGGGAGTTTTGCTTAGAACTCAAAAATGTAGTCAATGTGCAATGGCAGAAATTTGTGTGGTAGTGGGAGTACGCTCAAAGCAGCATATTTTTCAAACAATATTCCTAAACACACCTTTCTTGGTTGAGATAATGATAAAAGCTAGGTAGGAGAAAATTATAAACAACGTGCTTTGATGAGTACCTACACACTAAGTTGATATTTTGCGTTTCTGGTTGAGGAAAGAGCCTTCTGCTCTAAATCCCAACTGGGCATACGGGTTGGCTGAGCCTCTTTTGTGAAGATGATGTCGTCTTACTGGGACTTTTGATTCCGGGCTGGGCCACCTCACCAGCCTGAGTCAGTGGGCTGAGGACCCTTGTTATTGGCTGTTTTCACCCCTTCCTGAACTCCGTATAGTAAGCATCGTGTATGCTTATAGGCAAGTTTAACCGGTAACCTGTGGCACTCAGGAACATGAGTAAACCAGGGTCCCACGTAAAGCTGCTACAGTGTCAGCCAAACCTGAGACAGTTCACCTTGCAGCTAACACAGGACCCCAGGGCATAGCCCAGGGGTGCGGGGAGGCGACTCCCTTCGTGGAGTTCTTATATTACATGTTCCCCTATTCCACAGCCTTGGAGAACTACTTTCTCCTTGTCTTTGCGGGACAAGCCACTAAAACCAGTGCCAGGAAAAGGAGGCGGGGGCAAGTAAAACCCAGAACGCTCAGTCACCAGGCCTGCAGAGTCGAGGCCACGAGGGGCGGGGCCTGGCGCGAGAATGAGGCTCCGGGGCGGGGCCCGGGCGTGCCTGGAGGCTCGCGCGCGGCGGGGGTGGGGCGGCAGCCGCAGGCCCACGCCGTAAACAGACAACATGGCGGCGGCAGCGGCACCTGGCGCATTGGGCACCTTGCAGGCCAGCCGCGCCCGCTTGGTGGCCGCTTGCTGTGCGCCGCTCGGACCTGGGTGGAGGCTGCACCGGTCCTTGACGGTCCCGCGGGTCAGCCCGGTGATGTGGGCCCGGACGCCCGCGGCCGAGGGGGCGGCGCTGCGACGGGGCTACAGCTCTGAGGTGAAGACCGAGGACGAGCTGCGGGTGCGGTACCTGGAGGAGGAGAACCGAGGTTAGTGCGCGTCGTTGACGGCCGCGGGTTCTGGGAAGGGGTCGCGAGGTCCAGTGTTGGGGCTGACGTCAGTGCCCGCTGAGCGGCCGGGGTCGAGGCCCCTCCCCTCCCCCACCGCAGCATTGCACCTATTTAGCGCTTTCAGTGCGTAAAGGTGTTTTCTGAGCAGCTTACCTGTAAAAGTGGTCACACTCAGCACCGAAGACCGAAATGCAACTTGCTAACGCCCTCATTTTTAGATAAGCTAAGATAAAGATAAACCGTGTGTGTGATATTTGCTTCCAGGTTTTCTTCCTGCTCTGTATTGCTTTCTGTTATCTCAGATGTCAGGGGAAGAGTTTTAGAAGCTCCAGAATGCACTTTACAATTCTGAAGAATCTTAAATTTAAAGCTGTTCAGCTGGAACAGTTTCCCCCATTGTCCATTTTATCTTAGAAAGTTAGTTTTGGGGAAATATTCCACTTAGTTAAACGATTTTGAGCATTAAAAAAAAAAATCTTCCGGTTACTGTGCTGAGGTCTGGGGACACAATTGTGAATGATACTGATCTTGACCTTGAGCTACCTGCTGTGGGAGGAGACTGATGCATTAGCAATACAATACAGTGGGAGGAAGGCTGTGAAAGAGGGTATGTGTCATTTTGAGAGATTACAGCTGAAGCTATTATATATTCCTTCCACCTACCGTGTGGGGAAAAGCTAAAGGGATCACGAAAGATGTACTAGCGGTTTGCCAGGGGACCAGTCATTTAATTTTAACATGCAGTTATTGAGCACCTATGGTCTCTTAAGCAGACGTGCAAAACGAGTTAAGTCACGATTGCTGCTTTTAAGCAGCTCCTAGTATAGTGAGGAAGACACTGTGATGTGTAAGTCGGTGCTCACTTAAAAAAGGTTTGGTGAGCAAAGGACTGTAATAACCCCCAGGGGCATGTAATGGGCTGCTTGGGGAGACTGGAAGATTTGAGAGCGGAGGTTCTGAGGGCTAGGTTAGGGTTTTGCCAGGGAAAACAGGTTCCATGGCCTTCCCTAACTAGACAATGGAATTTGATATTAGTGAAGGTTCTTAGGAACTTCTCTGTGCCTCAGCTTTCTCATGTGTAAGATTGGGAAAATAATACTTCGTATGGCTGCTGTGAAGAGTAGATGGTAATGTACAGTAAATTGCCCACTGAGTATCTAGCTAACAGTGGGTGCTCTGGAGTATGATGAGTTATTTCATTTATTTGTTTGTTTATTATTTCAGAAAAAGACAAGGCATGCAGTGTGTACATGTGTGGTGTTTTGGGAAATTGAAGGAAAGTGTGGCTGTAGTGTGGCATGACAGGCAGAATATTGAGAAGTTCAGCTGGAAAGTAGATTGGCACTGGAGTGATTAGAGCCTTGAATGCCACCATCTTTTGGGTAAGCTTAGTCTCCCTGGAATTTCAATTACGTTAGGTATACCAACAGTATATTAGATACAAAGGGATTGCAAGTACAGTTAGTAATGTGCATCATAGTCCGTATTTTTTCATCTTTATGACTTAAATGAATGCAAATAGAAAGTAAATTTTTATAAAATACCTAGAAATTCCTTCAGTTAGAATCAAAGAGAAGAAATCAGAACATACGAGACAATTTAATAAATTTCAGTTACCTGAAAGAACCGGTAAAAATAAGGTATTAGGACATCATGGTTTCTGAAGAAAATTGACCCAGCTCCCCTCCTTTGAGGATTGGCAAGACTGACAACTCAGACTTAGCTAACTAAGTATGCTTTATTTTGCTTTACTGTCAAAGCAGCCGTAAGCAGTGCAAAGAAAACGACGAGGTCAAGGTTCCGCAGGCGAAGGAGTCTCCCTGGTGCCTTTGCTTCTCATAGAGGCGAGTCCAGAATGTGGCGCTCTGAGCAGCCTGCAAGGAGTATGAACACTCTCTGGGGCAGAGGAGCCCCAAACTGCTCCCTGCCCTGTAGGCCTCCTTAGGCTGGTGGAGTAGAGTGAGTGCAGAATACCTCAGCCCTCATCTGTTATCTGGGTTCTGTATATGTAATTTGTTGTGGAGACACAGGTATATAACCAGGTTTCTTGAGTGGCTTTATTCTTGCATTGTTGTCTAGCTTGCTTAGTCCTGGTCAGCAGTCCTGGTCAGAGCTTGAAAAGGTCTCGGTCTTGGGCAATGGCCTCTATAAGTCAGCTGGTGGCTAGGCGTTCTCCTTTCCAATTTATTCTTCACACTCGTGCTGGAGTTACCTTTTTTCAAGGCCAAGAATCACTTCTCTGCTCAGTTAAAAACCTCTCGTGGCGCCTTGTGGCTTGTAGGCCCTCACAGCTGGCAGGCCTTCTAGTCTGCCTTCAGCCTGTTTCCCTTCAGCCACACATACCATTTGCCTTTGCCTGTTTTGCACAGAGCTGGAATGACTTCCCCCTTCCCCTTACTGACCTTCTTCCAGTCTGGCAAGTTTCTGCTCATAATTGTGACCCATGTCACAGATCACCTTTGTGAACCTTGTCTGAACAGCTGCTGGCTGAAGTAGAGCAAGCAAGTGAATGCACAGTGCAAGTCATCCTTGATCTGCTCCTTCTTCATCATTCACATCTAGATTACCAAGTCCTCCCATGTGTCTGAAACCTTTCCGCTTTCCTCTGAGTTCTTCTGTACTCGTCTACTCTTGTCCAAGCCAGTATCGTCTCTCAGGTGAACCAGGAAGAGGTCTACCAGCTGGTCTTCTTACACCTACTGCTTTCCATTTTTTAACAGGTTGATTCCTTTCATGTGTTTTTTACATGTTTTCAAAAATATATTTTCATATGTTTTATGTCATGTGAGTTATGTTATTTAAAATCCTTATCAAGGAATAATTCATATGCCATAAAATTCAAAATGTACAGTTTTTAGTGTATTTACAAAGTTGTAGCACCATCACCACAATCCAATTTTAAAACATTTTTATCAGTGCTAAAAGAAACTTTATTCTCTTTAGCAGTCTTCAATAGATTTATCTACTCTGAACATTTCATATAGAGCAATCAAATGTATGTGGTCTTTGGCATATAAAGCACTCAGCATCGCATTTTCAAGGTTCATCCATGTTGTAGCATGTGTAGTACTTGATTTCATTTCATGGCTGAATAATATTCCATTGTATGGATAGACCACATTTTATCTATTCATCATTGATGTGCATTTGAATCGTTGGCACTTTTTGGGTATTGTGAACAATGCTGCTTAGGACATCCATGTATAAATTTTGCCAACATCTGTTTTCATTCCCACTTAGGAGTGGAATTTCTGGGTCATATGGTAATTCTATGATTAATTTTGAAGAACTAAGAACTTTTCCAGAGTGGCTGCAGCAATTTACATTCCCACCAGGAAGTTATGAGGGCTCCAATTTCTTCACATCCAGACCAATACTTGTTATTGTTGGTGTTTTTTATTTTAGTCATCCTGGTGCTTGTGAAGTGGTATCTCATTGTGGCTTTGAATTTGGATTTACCTAATGGTTAATGATTTTGAGTATCTTTTCTTGTGCTTATTGGTCATGTGTATATCTTTTTTAGAGAAATGTCTCCTTCATACCTTTTCCCATTTTTTAGTTGGGTTGTTTGCCTTTTTATTGTTGAATTGTAAGAGTTCTTTTTATATTCTGGATACAAGTCCCTTATCAGATACTTGATTTGCAAATATTTTCTCCTATTTTGTGGGCTGTCTTTTCACTTTTAAAAATTTAATTTAATATTTTTCAATTACAGTTGGTCTTTTCACTTTTTTTTTAAAGATTTTGGGGAATTGGGGGAGGGAAACAGCATTGGGGAATCAGGGAACAGACAAGCTCCCCTTTTGTTCTTCAGTCTAGTTGTGGAGGACGTCGCTTCACTGGCCCATGTTGGTATGATCATTGTGCTCTTCCCGGGTGAGGCAGATCGGTTGCCGGGCGGCTCTTGGCAGCTCACGTCGGTTGCCAGCCACTCATGGTAGCTTACTACGGGAGACCACTGCAGCAGGGGCTGCAGTCTATGCTGTCGCCAGCGACTCACAGTAGCCCAGCTCCAGGTCGAGCTGTTGGTCACCATCTTAGCTGTAGAGGGCACTGCGTCACTGCCCCTCATGTGGGATCTGAACAGGGGGCCCTGCTGCTCAGAGCTGGTGTCCCAAGGCAGCTCTTAACCAACGTGCCACTCGGCCGGCCCGGTGTTTTTACTTTCTTAATGGTATATTTTGAAGAACCTAAATTTTGAATTTTGAACGAGTTCAATTTATCTATTTATTTTTTTTGTTGCTGTGCTTTTGGTTCATATCTAAGAAGGTTACCTAATCCAAGGTCACAAAGATTTATACCTGTTTTCTTCTACGAGTTTTATGGTTTTAGCTCTTATATTTGTTTCTGTGATCCATTTTGAGTTAGTTTTTGTATATGGTGTGAGGTAAGAGGTTAACTTCATTGTTTTGCTTGTGTATATCCAGAGTCCCAGCATTATTTCTTGAAAAGACTGTTCTTTCACCACTGAATTGTGTTGGTATTTTTGTTGAAAATTAATTGACCATAAATAAGAGTTTATTTCTGGACTTTCAGTTCTGTTCCATTTATCTACATGTCTGTCTCGACAGCTAGTACCATGCTGTTTGATTACTGTAGCTTTTTAGTAACATTTGATTTGGAAAGTGTGAGTCCTCCAACTTTTGTTCTTTTTTTTTTAGCTGAGCCACCCTGCCACCTGTTGGCAGCTCAGCAGCAGCTAAGCTCGGGTGGGACTCAAACCGCTGTTGCTCAGAGCTCACACTCTTGAGTGAGCTCTTAACCAAGTGCGCCACTCAGCTGGCCCTTTTGTTCTTTTTAAGAGTGTTTTCTCTATTCTGGACTCTTGGATTATCACATGAATTACAGGATTAGCTTGTGAATTTCTCCAAGAAAGTCAACTGGGATTTTGATAGGGATTGCATTGAATAGGTACATCAATTTGGGGAAAATTGCCATCTTAACACTGTTAAGTTTTCCTGTCAATGAACATGGAATAT